TAAAAGCAATAATTTAGAGAAAGCAGGCACAGCTTGACCACACTGTGAAGGAATCTAGAGGAAAGCTGACCGGTAGCTTGTTAACAGTCAATGGGAATTTGAAAGAAGAAAGCCAAATGGAACACGAAGATTAGAACTTCTCCATCCTGTGGATCCCACTGTAGGAAAGCCAGGCTACTACCCTGTGAGACTGGGAATGACAACTGGAAGACTTCAGTCCAAAGTGAATACTTTGCATGGGTTCAAAGAGGATAAAAGGTACAAAGTAACCACAGTGTTATATTTCAATTATGCACCCTAGAGTTCTTATGTACCACATTATGACTACAAGTTTACAAATATCAGCAAGGATGATTCAGATTTAATCTATTCAGCCTATGGAGAAGACTCTGATCTTCCAAGCAATTTCAGTATCTAGGAATTTTTGACCACACGCCAAGATTATCCATATGTTATGACAGATAGCTTACTGGATGTTTTAACAAAAGGAGGGCATTCCAGGGTCCTATAAGAGTTGGAGATGTCTTGGTTGAATTCCTTCACTTCACTTAGAATCAATTCATTTAAAAAAAAAAAAAAAGATAAAGAGTTGGAGATGTCATCACCTGAAAATGAAGTCCATACTAGGACACTTGACACAGCAAAAGAGATGGAGATTACAGAAATAGAGACGGCAGGATGTTTGGACTACACTACTCTGAAAGCAGTAACAAACTTTGTTGCTCCAGTTGAAGTTTTTGACTCTTGAAGAAGCTAAAGTATTCTAAACGAAACTTGATGAGACCACCAAATTGCTCAGGGAGCTCCAGGATACCCACAATGAGCATTTGAACACCAGACACTCTCCCAGTATGATGACTTTTGGGTTCCAATGCATCTTGCTGAACAGATAACCAAAAATCTTAAAAGAGCTTGCACAGCAAGTAACTCTAGGTGATATCGTAACTATGTATGGAGTTTGAAAAGCAATGGGGATTTCCATTCCTTCCTCCATCATGGAAAACAACTTTGTAGATTTAACAGAAGATCTTGAAGAGCCTAGAAAAACAGATGTTGCTGAGTGTGGACCTGGTGAGAGTTGAGGCTGCCTAGTATTTGATTATATATTCTGTACATACTTTTTCATTCTTAACTTAAAAACACTTTTCACAAGATATTAAATATTTGTAAATTGTGTTTTTAATTAAACTTCGAAAGAGTGAAAAACAAAAAACACTTTCCTGGAACTAATTATGGCAGGGTGGCAGTAATACAACATTAACACAAAAGTCAATCATTTTTCACTATGTCAACAACAAACAGATGAAATATAAAAATTAAAAATTTATTACCATTTATATTAGCAACCAAAAAATAAAATAGGCATAAATCTAACAACATATATTCAAGATCTATATGAAGGCAGCTATAAAAATCTGCTTTAAAAAGTTCTAAGAACTAAATATTTCATGTTCATGGATAGGAAGACTCCATATTGTGAACATGTTAGTTCTTTCCAATTTGATCTATAGATTCAACACAATCCCTAACAAAATCCTAGCACATTACTTAGTGGATCCAATGAATTGATTCTAAGTTTATATGGAGAGACAAAAGAACCAGAATAGCTATCACAATATTAAAGGAGAACAAAGTTGGAGTACTGGCACCACACAACTTCAAGACTTACAGTAAAGCTACATTAATCTAAACAATGTGTGGTATTAATGATAAAATATACAAATTAATCAATGCAAAATAGTTCAGAAATAGGGACACATAAACATAGTCAACTGATCTTTAACAAAGGAGCAAATGCAATACAGTGGGGAAAAAACACCGTTTGAACAAATGGTGCTGAACAACTGGATATCCACATGCAAAGAAAAAATAAGAATCTAGACACAGACCTTGTATTTTTTACAAAAGTTAATTCAAAATGCATCACAGAACTAAATGTAAAACACAAAACTATAAAACTCCTAAAAAAAAAAAAAGAAAAAGAAAAAAGAAAGAAAAGAAAAAGTAGAAAACCTAGCTGACCCTGGCTATGGCAATGACTCTTTAAATATAACATCAATTCCGAATCCATGAAAGGATGAACTGATAAGCTGGACTTCATTAAAATTAAAAAACAATGGCAGGAGAATGAGAAAACAAGCTACAGACCAAAAGTAATTATTTGTAAAAGACAAATCTGATCTAAAAAACAAACAAAAAAAAGCCTGTTATCCAAAATATAGAAGTTATAAGCCGGGCGTGGTAGCTCACGCTTCTAATCACAGCACTTTGGGTGGCCAAGGCAGGCAGAGGCCAGTAGTTCAAGATCAGCCTGGCCAACCTAGCGAAACCCTGTCTCTAACTAAAAATACAAAAATTAGCTGGGTATGGTGGTTTATGCCTATAGTCCCAGCTACTCAGGAGGCTGAGGCAGGAAAATTGCTTGAACCCAGGATACAGTGAGCAGAGATCAGGCCATTGCACTCCAGCCTGGGTAACAAGAGCGAAACTCCATAACAAAAAAAAAAAAAAAAAAAAAAAAAAAAAAAAACAAACCCGAAAAAAAAAAAAAAAAAAAAAAAAAAAAAAAAAAAAAAAAAAAAAAAAAAAAAAAAAAAAAAAAAAAAAAAATCAATCATACCTACATAATGGCAATTCCATTTAAAAAAAATAAAAACAACAAAACAACAACAACAACGAAAACAACAAGGTCGCAGAACTTCTAGATAGTTGAATATGTGGAAGTTCCCTCCTGAAAGGTGGCACCCTGAAGATGGCATGGAAGCTCTGTATTCCGTATCTCATACCTCCCCCTATGCATCCCTTCAATCTGGCTGTTCAACTGTATCTTTTCTAATATCCTTTGTAACAAATGGGTAAGTGTGAGTAAAATATTTCTGAGTTCCTGTAAGTTAATCAAACCCAGGGAGGGGGTTTTGTGAACTCTGATTTATAGCCAGTTAGTAAGAAGCATCTGAAACTTGCAATTGGGATCTGAAGTGGAGGGCAGTCTTGTCATATGAAGCCTCAATCTGTGTATTTTGACACTATCTCTACACATACAGTGTCAGAATTAAATCAGAAGACAAATACCCACATGGTGTCTGCTGGAGAATATACAGAACTGACTGCTTGCTCTGTAGGGAAACACATACCACACACGTGGTATCAGAAGTATCGTGCTGAGTAGAGTAGACAGTGGGAAAAATGCATCTTTGGTTTTTCCTATATCACTATAGCAGCTTTACTCATAATTGGCAAAACTTGGAAATAATCAGGATAGCTGTAGGTCAACATTGTACATGTGCAAGGATATGGAGGATATGGGAAATCTTGGTACTTTCCATTCAATTTTTTAGTGAGCCTAAAACTGCTCTAAAATATTAAGTTCATAAATTGTTAAGGAGTTAACACAGGTGGTCCGGGCACAGTGGCTTATGCCTGTAATCCAAGCACTGTGAGAGGCCAAAGTGAGGAGATCATGAGGTCAGGAGTTAGAGACCAGCCTGGCCAACATGGTGGAACCCCAAAAGTGAGGAGATCATGAGGTCAGGAGTTAGAGACCAGCCTGGCCAACATGGTGGAACCCCGTCTCTACTAAAAATACAAAAATTAGCTGGGTGTGGTGGCATGCACCTGTAACCCCAGCTACTCAGGAGGCTGAGGCAGAATCACTTGAACCCAGGAGGCAGAGGTTACAGTGAGCCAAGATCACGCCTCTGTACTCCAGCCTGGGCAACAGAGTGAGACTCTGTCANGGAACATTATTCAGTACTAAAAAAAAAAAAGAACTATCAAGCCATGAAAAGATAGAGGAAACTTAAATGCATACTACTAAGTGAAAGAAGCCAGCTTAAAAAGAGATGGTCTGACTAGCATATACTATACGATTGCAATTACATGATATTCTGGGAAGGGCAAAACTATAGAGAAAATAACAAGTTCAGTGGTTGCTAAGGGTCCAACGGGTTGAACAGGCAGAGCACAGAAAATTGTTAGGGTAGTGAAACTACTATGCATGATACTATAATGGTGGATACATGTCATTATTAATTTGTCAAAACCCTTAGAATTTACAACACCAGGAGTGAACCCTAACATAAACATGGGCTTTTGAGTGTTAATTGTGTATCAGTATAGGTTCACTAATTGCAAATAACGTACCCTAAGGTACGAAATGTTGACAGTGGGGAAGGTTGCACATGTGTGAAGATACAGAGGATACGGAAAATCTTGGTACTTCCCATTCAATTTTGTAGTGAACCTAAAGCTGCTCTAAAAAGTAAAGTTCATAAATTTTTAAAAAGTTAACACAGGTGCTTCCATTATAATACAATATGGACATTCCTGGAAAATCATGCACTAAAAATAATAGCGCATATGGGACAAATAGGATTAAAAACAGTCCATTCAAACCCAAGCAATTTTAACTAGAGCACTAACAAAAACAGTGACTCAGGAGATAACTTGGGACAGTCTGAACAGGTGGTCACAGTGATATTTAAAAACCACACACACACACACACACACACACACACACACACACACAGAGTCAAAATGCTGGTGGCGCTTTAATTAGAGGTCTGATGGGTTTTCAGATGATATAGGTAGACTGTGATACAGGGGTTGCCATGCAGTTGGAGTATAAGGGAACATAACCTGCCATGAACTGAAAGTCTATAAAGAAGGAAGTGCACCTGTTAAGGAAGAGCACCCCAAGGGCAGGTACTCTTCTACAATTTTCTTATGTAAGTTGGAAAAACCTACTGCTGATGTGTTAAGTAATCCTAAGCCTTTTGCTTTGCTGGCCAAATATTTTAATTTTATTCACAATACTGTAACTCCACTCACCTGGGAACCTGGGGGAAAGCACTTACGAACCAATCTAGAAAATGAAGCAGACATCATTCTCCTATACCAACTGTGTATGAGCAAATTTGCACCACAGAAATGTGTTTTGTAGCAAGACAAGCTGTAGGTGAAACTCTATGTGAACTTAATCATACAGAAAAAAAAAATCTGAGGAGCGACACAAGATGGCAGCCACCACGGGCTCGGGAGTAAAAGTCCCTCGCAATTTCTGACTGTTGGAAGAACTCAAAGAAGGCCAGAAAGGAGTAGGAGATGGCACAGTTAGCTGGGGTCTAGAAGATGACGAAGACATGACACTTACAAGATGGACAGGGATGATAATTGGGCCTCCAAGAACAATTTATGAAAACCGAATATACAGCCTTAAAATAGAATGTGGACCTAAATACCCAGAAGCACCCCCCTTTGTAAGATTTGTAACAAAAATTAATATGAATGGAGTTAATGGTTCTAATGCAGTGGTGGACCCAAGAGCCATATCAGTGCTAGCAAAATGGCAGAATTCATATAGCATCAAAGTTGTCCTGCAAGAGCTTCGGCGTCAATGATGTCTAAAGAAAATAAGAAACTCCCTCAGCCGCCTGAAGGACAGTGTTACAGCAATTAATCAAAAAGAAAAACCACAGGCCCTTCCCTTCCCCCCCCATTCGATTTAAGCAGTCTTCATTTTCCACAGTAGTAAATTTTCTAATTACGTCTTGTAGACCTCAAAGTACTGGAAAGGAAGCTCCCATTCAAAGGAAATTTATCTTAAGATACTGTAAATGATACTAACTTTTTGTCCATTTGAAATATATAAGTTGTGCTATAACAAAAAAAAAAAAAAATCTGAGGCCAGATGTTTTAATTTCTACATTTAGTAACATCTTTTCAGCCTTTATCTGCCTTCTCTGAGTTTTATATAACTGTTCCCTTTCTGTGGAAAAAGCCTTGCTTGCTTGCTTTCCTTTCTGTAACAACTTCCCCCAGGTCGCTTCCCAAGTTGTGCTCTTCTGCTACCTTCTAAAATGCTGCTGTTCCCTGTCTCTAGTTCTGGATCCCATTTTCCTCTCACTGCACAACCCTTCCTCAAATACCGGATCATGCCCAAGGCTACCTAGACTGACAACATCTAACCTCTTATCTCTGGTTCAGACCTGCACCCACAAATACCCCCTCATTCTTCACTTCAACTCCAAATTTACAATGTGTAAGGTGTAAGTTTAGCTCATTTTTCTCCTCTAAGCCGATCCTTAATGTAGTAATCTCCATAAACAAATCAATTGTCTCCATCTCAAACTAGGCAATCATTCTCTCACCACATTAAATATGTCATTAAATCTGGCCCATGTTACCATGGCTTGGTCATCTAGATGTTTAAACAACAGTCTTCTCATTCTGACCACTATAGTTTTAAAATTCAAATGTTCACGTAACTTTTGGACTACAGAGACAGGTTTCTGATGGCTTCCCTGCCTCTAGTAATAGCTAACTTAAATCTAATCTCTATTATGCCATCAGAGTAACCAAACTAGGATACATTGTAAAGTGAAAGACAGAGCTATTAATAAATTTATTAGCACATCAGGCATAAACTGAGCCAGTCCTAAGCAAACCTTTACACCTCAGATCACTGGTATCACTTGGCCCTTGCTTATCTCTTCAACCATATATTTACCACTATCTTTCTCTTATATTACATTTCATCCATACAGAATAATTTGCATTTTCCAAATGCATTATATTTCTCCTCATTCCTTTAAGCCTCTCCACATGGTATACACTATGCCTCAAATACTATTTATTCACCCCCTTCACCTTGCTCAATTCATTTAGTTCATCAAGTTCTCAAACTGGATTATCACTTCCTATGGGAAGCCTGGCCAGGACTTTGGAAAACCAGTTTCTGTGTTCACAGCTGGGGAACTATAGCACTTCACACATAACCCCTGTGGGAATCACCACACTGCAACTATCTTCTGTATTCTCCATTAGACTACACATTCCTTGAGGGCAAAAAGAGCTTCATTCACATTTCTATTGCTGCAGCATAAATGGAAACTTATCTATAGTTAAGATAAACAATTTTTAAGGAAACGGATAGCTAATTTTTATTATACTCTCTGTGTAGGGTTTGAGTTCCATAAAGGCAGAAATCATTCTTTGCTTTTGTGTCCCCAGAATTTAACACATTTGATGTTTGATGTTTTGTTGAAGATGCTCATTTGTAATGGTGGGACTCAATGTTCATTAGTACAGATTTGGTGGTAGAAACAAAAAAATTGAAGAAAAAATAAATAGAAAAAAAAATAAATGGAAAGAAAAAGAATAAAATGGAAAGAAAAGAAATAATGCATCAATGAAACTTAATAGTAATTATTATTTGGTTGGTCTTTTCAAGGCACACATACATATGGAAAGAAGAGGCCTCTTTCTTCAATTAACGAAAGAAAAAGGGTCCTTCATATTTTATTTTTTCCACAAAGGCCTCTTAACCACAGATGGAAATTTAAGTACAAACAGAAATACAAACTACTCCCCAGTTTTACCAATCTACCATTAAAACCATCCAGAAAGTTTGGATTGTAGAATAAAGACATGATTCTCATTCTCTACCTATAAGACTGAGTGATATCTACTTCCAAGGTCATCTTGATTGTAAGGTCAGTCAAATTTTTAATAAGCAAATAGACGTTACTTCTTAAGAATAAGTTTTCCATCTATAAATTCATTTAAAATGTTAATTTTATTTTACTTATTTACTCAAACACACATTAATTTTAATAATTATTGTTAAAAGCATAATTTTCTTTGTCTAGTGTCTATAGAATTAGGATGAATATGTTACGGATCGGAAAAACGTGCCTATACAAAATGCTATGCATAAAAAATTAAATCATTCAAAGATCCAAGGTAAAAAACAAAAAACCTTCGCTAAAGAAATATTTTATTATCATCTGTTGTTTCTTTTAAGACTCACCATTTTATTGGCTCTCTGTATCTATCTACTGATAAAAGTTTATCTCATATTATTTATCATACCCATTTAGTATTTAAGATTTTCCTTGTATTCTCTTTTATGAATTGCTCTCATCTTTTAAAATCAGATTTCTCAACAATATTTCAATTCCTCACATACTTCAAAATACTACTATAATTTTTAACAACCTCTCTTACATACTCTTCCAAATATTAATATTTTTATTTGTCCTTGCACACTGACTTGGAGAGCCCTCTACTGGCCTGAAGCTGTGTCAAAAGAACATCTACTTCATCTTTTAGATACCTGTTTTTTACATGCTTTCAGTCATATGATAATTATATAATTAAAGTAAAGCCTTTATTCAGAATGACAGAATGTTAAAGAGAAACTGAATGGTTCTACTAAAATGCTGTTATCAAACCAAGATACACTACTTCCATAGTATAGAAATACCGTTTTCAAATATCTGTATGCTATTAATTCTCAGTAGTGCACTATAAAGCCTTGCTATCATGTGCTAGAAGTCCAAGATGAGACCAAATTATAAAAAGTCAATTCTGAAGTATTCATAACTAAAGTATAAAAAGCAAGTTGGAATCTCTATGTTAAGTGCCTCTGGCCTCAAGTAAATCCGACAGTTATTTTCTCGTCAATATTTTCTGATTTTAATATACCAATGTCTCTAGTATTTATAAACAATACGTTTAAAGATATAATAAAGGAAACAATTCTACTTAACTTAAAATATTGGAATAAAGGCCTAATGAAGAGAATACCACCACCACCAAAAATCCACAAATATAAGTATATACCACCACAAAATTATCAGGCCTCACTTTAGATCCCAATAAGTATGCCAACAGTCTTTCTGTTTTCTTTTCAAAATAAACAAACCAATATAAAGTTTACATTTTTTAAAAAATGCAAATAATGTTTAAGGAAAGCCCTTTTAAAAAAAAATGGGTAATAATTAGGGAACGTAGCCATTGCAGTCATATAAATTTTGTTATCAGGCCTCACAGACTCTGTATCTGTGTTCCAATTAGACTATATTCTCCTTACGGGCAAAATTAACCTCATTTACATTCCTATTCATTTACATTTTTTCATACATTTCTATTCATTTCCATTTCCATTTACTGTCTAACCAACAGTGAATGCAAATAAATTTAGAAGGAATAGACAAACTTGTTTTCCTATATGGTCTCTCTCTCTGTAAGTTTTGAGATCCATGAAAGCAGCAACTATTTTTCATTTTTGTAGCATCAAAATTTAGCACAGTAGATGTCACTGTTTGGTTAAATAGGCTCATTTGTAAAAGTGAGATGCATTTATAAAATACTCATTAGAATCAGATTTCATGGTAAGAGCAAAGGATATGAAAAGACAATTCACAGAAAAAGAAATATGAATGGGTCCTTAAATTTATAAAAAGAAATATAACATTACTCTTAAGAGAAATACATATTAAAACCATATGACCATACGGAGATAAATCCCACCTGTCTTTTATATAAGACCTACTACTAGAAGGGCAAAAATCCAGAAGTTTAATAACACACTCTGTTAGCATGGCTGAGGGTTGAGCAGTGGGACAGTAAGGGTTTTTATTACACTGTTCTCCTAGAGAGCAATTTGACAGTAACAGTAAAAATCACAAACTCATACAACACCTAGAAATTTAACTTCTGGAAATTTAACTTACAACTCAAATTTTGATGAGTAGGGGACAGGTAGAATAAATTATGCTATCTCCATAAAATGGAAAATTACACAGCTACAAAACCAAAGGAAAGGGGTGTTATCTAAGTAATGATAGGAAAACAATCATTATGTTTTATATAATTTTTATATAATATAAAGAAAAAAAGGTGCCAGATAATGTACAATTCTTATAGTTTTTAAATGTAGAAGAAGGATAAAACACACTTGTATCTGCTTGTGATATACATCAACTCCAGAAGGATACACCAGAAACTGACAGTAGTTCCTGTATGTGTGTAGAGAGGGGTGTGCAATCTGGACAGATGGAAGGCTGTAGGTGGACACCTTTTAACATATATACAAATAAGTGTAAGTCATGTGAATACATTAAGTTGATTTAAAATTTCCTTATATTACAAGATAAGTATATTATTAACACAAGCTTTACTACGAAGACAACTGCAAAATTCTCTACAATCTTACCTCCAAACTAGGCACATAAGAATCCTCACAATTTATATAATGTCCTAACATGGCATGTTGAGCCCATAATTCATTATCCCTTATCCTCTCATGCAGGTGGGTAATTTGTTGCTTCTGCCTGCAAAACACAAATTAAGGTCACATTATGAGTAATACTTTTCTAATAGAAAGAAGAACATTAAGTAGCCTAATAATTTTACATTAGAATTTAAAAGTATTATCAATTTAAAAATCATAATAGGAAACCTCTTTAAAACAAATACCACATATGGATTAGGTAAAAATTTATACTGTAGAGTACTGCTACAACGTAGTCTTTTATAGAATATTCCTTGTAGATTATAACAGTCACACCTTGCTTTCTTCAAACAACTCACAGCTTGCTTAAGCAAGTTTTTTAATTTCTGTAAATATGTATGCTTATAAGCTTTAAAACTGTTTTGTGTCAGGCATGATGCTAAGAGCTTTGTATGCAGTATCTCTCATCTTTAAAAGTTTAGTAAGTCTCAATGAAGTTTTGAAGGAGAGGTTTTAAAGAATAAAAAAAATAGTATGAGTAAGCAAATAGCTTGATGTTTTCCAAAATTACTTACAAAGTAACTTTTGGAACAAGTAGGTTATATGTTTCTGGCTGAATCAAAAGACCTTGTTTCTCTTGGAATCATTTTTTTTTTAATTTGCTAACCTTTAAGAAAACCCATATATAAAACACTAAATAGGAGATAAGTTAGAAGAGATTAGTCATATAAAACTTTTCAAATAATTTAAAGCTCTACAAAAAGAAAAAAACAAAAACAAAAAACCTTCCTTGTCCAGCCAAGATGGAGTAGCAGGCAGGGACTAGTTTTGCCCTCCTGCCTCAAAAAATTTTTTTAAAAAGACAAAATATAGGAAGTGAAGGCTCTCAAGGCTTTGACCAACAGGCAACTGAGAACAGTAATCTCTTAAAGATAGGTAACTAATGAGGTGGGCCCTATGACTGGCTGGGAGTGTTTTCAAGCCCCGGCACAGGAATGATGGTCTCCCTGAATTGAAGAGACAAAGCTGAGAATCTGGGGAACCAAGGCAACTGTAGTTAGTTCACAGTGCTGGATGACTCTTGGGCATTCGGTTGAATGCTAATTAATACAGACATGAGGAAACTTCTGAAGGTGTGTGTAGAGTGGAAGCACAACCAAAAAAAGATTAGAGGGAACAGTGCTTCAGGGTGCCTTGGAATTACTAGCTATTCCCAAAGGCCAAAATAAAAAGCTTCATGATTCCCAGGGCATCAGCAATTCTCAAATGGGGACAATTTTGAAACCAGTGAATATTTAGCAACATCCATAGACATTTTTGATTTTCACAATTGGGGCAGAATGTTCCTGGCATCTAGTGAGTAGAAGCCAGAGATACTACTAAATGACTACAATGAACAGGATAGTGACCCTCAACAATTAAATCTGATCCAAAAAATCAACAGTGCTGAAGCTGAGAAACCCAAGGTTTATAAGAGAAGTCTTGTTTCAATGGGGCAAAACCCCTTTATAAAACAGCTCTAATGCCACCTAACAAAACTTAAAAGTACAAAACTTAAAAACAAAAACTGATTCCCAGAATAAAGCTCAGGAATACAAAAATGTTACATCAAAAACAAGTTAAAATTCATAGTGCCTGGCATCAAAAAATTATCAGTAGTACAGAAAAATATAACTCATAATAATAAAATCCAATCAACTGAAAATGAGCTAGAACGGACATAGATGTTAGAATAGACAAGGATAGTAAATCAGTTATTATATTCATATGTTTAAGGAGAAGAAAGAATGAACATATGAAGTAGAGACATACAAGACAACATACTGAATGGTGATTAAAAGATTAGACATTACAGCACAAAAGTACAGTGAATTTAAAAACAGCAATAGAAACTATCCAAAAAGAAACACATAGAGAAAAAAAAGAACAAACAAATAAAAAAGCTCAGTGAGCTGTGAGATTATCATAAGAGGCCAAATATATGTATAATTGGAATCCCTACAAAGGAAGGAAGAAGGTGCAGGGGGTGGGAGGAGGGGGCAGAAAAAATATTTGAAGAAATCAGGCCAGAATTTTTCCAAATCTGATAACTATACTCCCACAGATTCAAGAAGCCCAGTGAGTCTCAAATAGAAGATGAAGACAACTAACCCAAGGTACATCTAAATAGTTTACAGTGATAAAATCTTAAAAGCAGCCAGAAGGAAAAAAGATAAATCCATTCAAGGAGACAAAGATAATGCAATCAATAAGACAAAGAAGTATTTTAAGTACTACAATTTAAAAGCTCTCAACCTAAAATTTTTGACGTAAGGAAAAATTTAAAAACAACACAAAGATCATACAAAAAACCCATTAACCTTTAATACTTTACTCATGGAAAATAGTTTTTTAAAGGTGAAATAAATACCTTTTTTGGACACTTAAAAGCTGAAAGAATTCATCAACCCCAGACTTCAACTACAAGAAATGATAAAGGAACACCTTTCAGGCAAAAGAACGATATGCCAGGTGAAAACCTGAATTTACAGAAAAGAAAGAAGAATGCCAGAAATGATAACCACATGGCCAAATACATAAGATATTTTTCTTATTATTTAAATCTCATTAAGTGATCGTAAATTATGTAATGAGAGACAAAAAATATAATTTATATCCAGGTTGTATAACCTTTGTAGATATAGAATGTATGACAAAATAGCTCAAAGGCTAGAAGATAAAAAAAAAAAAAGGAACTATACTTTTCTTACACACATTATACATGAATTACTTGAAGACAGACTGCTATACTTTAAAGAATTGTATTATGAACTCTAAAGCAATCATTGTAACAATATAACAGAGTAGTAGCTAATATTCCAATAAAAGAGACAATGGGAATTATAAAAAATACTCAGTTCAAGAGAAGGCAAAAGGGAACAAAGAACAGATGGGACAATTAGAAAAAAAATAACAAGGCCGGGCACGGTGGCTCCCATGTGTAATCCCAGCACTTTGGGAGGCCAAGGTGGGTGAATCATATGAGGTCAGGAGTGCAGACCAGCCTGACCAGCATGGTGAAACCCCATCTCTACTAAAAACACAAAAATTAGCCGGGAGTGGTGATGCATGCCTGTAGTCCCAGCTACCTGGGAGGCTGCAGCAGGAGAATGGCTTGAACCCAGGAGGCGGAGGTTGCAGTGAGCAGAGATCGTGTCATTGCACTCCAGCCTGGGCAACAGAGCAAGACTCCGTCTCAAAAAAAAAGAAAAATAAAACAACAAATAGGAATATAGGAAATTTAAACGTGACCATATCAATAATCACAACATGTAAATGGTTTAGATACTCCAGGTCAAAAGGCAGACATTGTCAAAATGTATAAAAAGTAGGACCTAACTATATACCATCTACAAGAAAGAAAATCATTCTGAACATAAGAACACAAACAGGTTAAAAGTAAAAGGAGGAAAACCAGTGCTAAAAATAATCAAAAGAGAGCTAGAGTAACTATATTAATATTAGTCAAAGCAGACTAATATTAATTTTTTTCTATTTTAGAGACAGGGCATTGCTCTGTCACTCAGGCTGGAAGGAAGTAGTGTGATTGCAGCTTACTGCAGCCTTGAACTCCTGGGCTCAAGCCATCTTCCTGTCTCAGCTTTCCAAACAGCTGGGACTACATATAGGATCCACCATGCCCAGCTAATTTTTTAAATTAATTAATTAATTAATTTTTTTGTAGAGGTGAAATCTCTCTACATTGCCCAGGCTGGTCTCAAACTCCTGGCCTTAAGTGATCTTCCCACTCAACCTCTTGGTGTTGGGATTACAGATGTGCACCATCTTGCCAGGCCAAAGCAGATTGTTAGAGCAGAGAATGCTACCAGGGACAAAAATTATAACTTAATAATAATAAAAGGGTCAATTCATTAAGAAGCCATGACATTTGGGCCTAAGAGTGCAGCGTCTAAATACGTGAAGGACAAAACTGATAGAAAAGCAGAGAAACAGACAAATCCACAATTATAATTGGATATTTTAACACCTGGATTTCAATAATTGATGTTAATAGAACAAGTAGACAGAAAATCAGGAGAATATAAAAGACAAAAACACTATCATCTGATTTGCCCTAAAAGGAGTTTCTAGAATACTCCCCACAAAAGTCAAAAGCAGAATACACATCCTTCTCAAGATACCTGAAACACTTACTAAAGTAAATGATCTTCTGAATCATAAAACAAGCACCAACAAATTTAAAAGAACTCAATTCATATAGAATATATTCTCTGACCACAGTGAAATTAAATCAGAGAAGAATTACAGACAGAACTCTAGAAAATCCTGAAATATTTGTAAACTATGTAAAGTAACCATAAATACCCTGAGGTTCAACGAAGAAATCGAAAGATAAACTAAGTATTTTGAAGTGAACAAAAATGAAAACCAAATGAATTAAAATTTTAAAAGATTGGTAAATAAGAACTTAGAAATTTATTATACTAACTGCCTATACCAGAAAAGAAGAAAGCTCTCAAATTATCTCAGCCTCCAATTTAAGAAGTTAGAAAAAGAAGGGCCGGGTGTGGTGGCTCACACCTGTAATCTCAGCACTTTGGGAGGCCAACGCGGGTAGATCACAAAGTCAGGAGTTCAAGACCAGCCTGGCCAACATGGTGAAACCCCGTATCCACTAAAAATACAAAAATTAGCTGGGTGTGGTGGATTGCACCCGTAATCCCAGCTACTCGGGAGGCTGAGGCAGGAGAATTGCTTGAACCCAGAGGAGGTTGCAGTGAGCCAAGATCATGCCATTGCACTCCAGCTTGGGTGACAGAGCAAGACTATGTCTCAGACAAAAAACAAAAAAAAAAGTAAAACTCTGTCTCAAAAACAAAAAAAGAGAAGTTAGAAAAAGAAGAACAAATGAAACTCAAAGTAGAATTTCTAAAGTATTTAAATAGCCCTATATACAGAAATTGAATGTGTAGTTGACCTTCCAATAAAGAAAAATTTAGGGGCAGAAGTCTTCACTGAATAATTCTGCTGAAAGTTTAGGAAATAAAAAGACCTGTTGTACACAATGTGTCCCAAAAAGCAGTGAATAATTCCCAACTCTATGAGGCCAGCCTGAGCAATATCTAAATCAGATAAATACAAGAAAAGAAAAATGCAGACCAATATCTCTTGTGAATATAAATGTAAAAATTCTTAACAAAAATATATCAAATAGAATCCAAAGATATATAAAAGGAAAATACATCATAACAAATGGCGTCTATCCCAGGAATTCCATGGTAGGTTTTACATCTGAAAGTTCATCAGCTACCTAGAATAGAAGGAATTCCCACAATCTAAAAAATGCAACTATGAAAAACAGCTAAACATCACCCTTAATGGTAAAAGACTGAAGACTAAAAATAAATAAAAGGACTGTATTGAAAAAGAAAAAGTAAATCCATCTTTAATCATGAACATCATGATTGTCTATGTAGATAATCCTACTGAATCTACAAAACAAAATACCTACTTGAACTAATTAGTGAGGTTAGATTGCAGGATACAAAACCAATTTTATTTCTATCTATTTAAAAATGTTCTGAAAATATATATTTTTACCTTGACATAACTCATATCTATGGGTACAATGTGTATTTAGATACATGTATACAATATATAATGATCAAATCAGGGTAATTAGCATAACCATCACCTCAAACATTTATCATTTCTTTGGGCTGTTAACATTCAAATTACTACTCCCTTCTAGCTATTTGAAAAAAAAATACAAGTATTGTTTACTAGTTACCCTACAGTGCTATAGAACACCAGAACTTCTATCTAACTGTAACTTTCTATCCATTAACCAACCTCTCTGTATCCGCTACCTCCCCCTACCCTTCCCAGAATCTAGTAACCACTTTTCCAATCTCTACTTCTATGAGATAAACTTTCAAAAAACTTCATTTTTGTTTAAGTAGTAAAACTCCTTTACCCAGGCAGTTAAGGAGATGGAAGTGCAAAAGGTCAAGCACTTTACTCAATCACCTAAATGGTTATAGTGGCAAATAAAAAGAAAGAGAAACCTGGTTTCTTTTTTTTCTGAATTGTTCTTGAAGTTAATCTAAATGCTTTTTCTCATTAGATGGGGAACATTTAGAAACAGTTTCTATAGCAGTTATTTTTTCCATTTTCTCTGCTTTAACCTAATAATCCAGGCTTCTACTACAAAAGTTATATGCAGTATGAAAAAACACATTTTTTTCTCATGTAATTTCAGGTAACCTGATATTTTCAGACGTAATATACAACATAGAATTTTTTAGTCAAATGATTTGAAAGGTATCATTGACACCATATCCCAAAGTAAAAAGTTCAGCAGCTTTCCTCTCAATTCCATTCATCTGGACGTCAAATCCCATGAAGTCTGTCTCTGAAATAGCCTCTACATGTGTCATCAACATTTTAAAGGCCATTACTCTAATCTGCTTCTTCAAAAACAGAAACGTCATATATTTGGTTCTAATTTAAGCACTATATATATATATAATAGAAATTTTCATATACAAAGATTTTTATTTTTAAATGATGGTTATGCTGCTTTAGAAACAAAAGCTGCTAGTTTTTCTTCTGTTTTATACAATATCAGATGCACTAATTATCAAAAACTTTTTAATAAACTCATAAAGAAACCAAAGATTATTTAAGATACTAGGTATAGAATATTTATTAAAAATGCCTCAATTATTACCCTCCCTATATTGCTAATACCTCCTGTCAACATGATGCTGTTTCTACTGTCCAAAAGTGAAGTCTACTACTACTGGCTTAGTGACTAACAGAATATAATAGAAGTGATGTTGGGACATTTCTGAGTCTAAGCCTCAAGAGACTTCGTATGCTTCATTCTTTTTTAGAATCCCACCCCAGCCACCACTCAAACACACCCAGGCTGGCCTGCTAGAGGATGACAGAACACATGGAGTAAGATAAGCCATCTTGCTGTGGCCCATCTTAGGCCACCCAGCCCCCACCTGCTACCATAGATGCATAAATAAGCCTAGCTGAAGAATTAACCAACTGAGCAACTTATTTTGAATTATTCCTTAGTCTGCTTCTACAGTATACACAATTGAGAAATATATATTTTATTAGATTATGTCAATAATTTTCTATATTTTCTATTAACTTATATCCAATGGAATGGTATTCAAAAAAATAAAAGCCAATTGATTTCTATTGTTTGTGGGAGGGCAAATTCATATAAATAAAACTGAATTTTAGTCTGTTTTTAAAAAGTATTAATTTCAAGTATATAAAATTGTAAGTATATTAAATCATAAATATTAAAAATACATATCCAACTGGGCCTGTACTTATTCATACATAACATTCACTTATACTAAAAACAACTAATATTTTTAAGTAACTTTTTCCTAAAATCAATTAAAACTCTCTTCCACAATCCTTCATTTATCAAGTATGGAAGTATCAAATTTTAAGCATAAACAATGTGCCAGGCTCTCCTCAAAATGTTGGGAATAGGCTGCGCATGGTGGCTCACGTCTGTAATCCTAGCACTCCGGGAGACCGAGGCAGGCAGATCACTTGAGGCCCGTAGTTCAAGACAAGCTTGGCCAACATGGCAAAGCTCTGACTCTTCACTAAAAATACAAAACTTAGCCAGGTATGGTGGTGCCCTGTAATCCCAGCTTATCTAGAGGCAAAGTCACAAGAATTGCTTGAGCTGGGAGGCGAAGGTTACAGTGAGCTGAGATGGCACCATGCACTCCAACCTGGGGAGAGAGCAAGACTCTGTCTCAAAAAAAAGAAAAGAAAAAAAAGAAAAAGAAAACAATTGGGGGAATGTAATGGAGAATAAGAAAGCCCAAATGTCTACGGTCTAGTTTATATTCCAGTAGATCTTCATTAACATTGCTAAATTTCTAAGCAAAACCTTATGAAATTTCAACTATACTAAATAGAATTTTAAGGCCAAAACACCTACTGTGTTAACCTATGCAAGCACATGAAAATAAGTAATTAAGAACATTGATTAAGAAAAAAAGCCTCCTGGAATTATTTCCCAATTACCGTCATACACAACAGATTTAATTATCCCAAGAGCATACATAAATGATGTAGAACCAATATACATTAAAGAAAATATAATTACGTGACATGAAGGTTTACTGCTCACAATACTCAGGAGACTGCCTATTAAGTATAAATGATTTTTTTTCCAGAGCTTAGGTACTCAAACCCTTAAACATTTTGGAATGTCCACCAAAACTGCTATAATTCTTAACTGTAAATCATTTCATTTTAAACAGTTGTCATTTTTGTAGTTTCTGTGGCTTCAGACCTAGCATCCATTAAAGGAAATGACTGCTTTAAAGTACCTTTCCAATTGGATAGTTCTCAAGGGTAAAACAAAAACACTGTCTTGTAGCTCTAATAGCTCATTAGCATTGCAGCTAACCTGCTACATGTACAGAAAAGACAGAGGGGAGTTTCCAAATAATGAAATAATTCATTAAAGTGAATAGGAGGGATGACAGATAAACAAACCAACCAACAGTTCTGATAGTAGTTCTTGAAAGGATTGGGATTGAGGAGGGGCAGAGATATGCCATCAATGAATACATAATTACGGTTCTAGATTTTAAATTCTATGCAGTGAACACACAGCTAATTGTTTCATTAATCTTAATTTCTGTAGGCCTGAAATATTTAATAATTTTAAAATAGACTCACCGATCAATTACAATTTCTTTCTGCCTTAGAAGTCCTTCTTTTATTTTCAACATTGATTCCCACTTACTGAAATCCTGATAGCCAGAAGGTGAATAACTTTGACGAGATGATCCAGTTAAAACCTGCACAAACATGTTTATGCTATTAGTATATTAAAAGTATTTAAAGAAAATATTTATATACCATTTAATCTTTTCCCAATCATTTACATTAAAAAATAGCGAATTCCCTCTTTGATTTTTTTTAATACTCTCAGAAATCACACTGTGAATACAACATAACTTGGACAATTTCAAGGAAGCTCTAAGGGACATGTACAAGTCTAACGAAGAATTAATGACAACAGAACGTTTATCCTGGCCAATTATAAACACCACATCAGCTCTTATTCCCATTACCTTGTGGAAGTTTTCTGAAAATGGGCTTAATCTCTAAGGGAGTAATACAATAAAGGAATGTGCCATGGCTTAACTAGACAAACATTAGCAGGAGGGAGACTTTGCACAAGAAAATAAAAGCAGTATCTATAATATTCAGATTTTGAGTTGACATGTATCACATCATCATTTACTTACGTTAAAATTTCAAAATCACAAATACTTTCACAAAGTAGTGAGACAACCAAATGCCTAGGCAGATAAAAAGGGGTCCTTGGAGAATCTCTGGCCCACCCCACAAATGCCCACATCAGATGCCTTTGTGCAGATAAGGAAATCTGCCCAGGGCTTGTCTGGGATGCCCACAGTGGACTGGAGTCCAACACACACACTGTGGGAAATAGGTGGAGCCACGGTGGATTCCTGTGTTATGCAGGGGAACAGCCTGCTCTCTTCAGCTCATGTGGTAACCTGGGAATCAATCTGCGAGGTAGAGGGCCTGTTAGCAGGACTCCATGTTACTTTGGTGAGACTTTTTTTTTTTTTGCTTTTTTCCTTTCTGCCCAACAAATTCCTCTCTAATCACCCTTCAATGTGTCCATGAACCTTCCTGGTTGTGTGACAAGAACCTGGTTTTTTCCTCTTTTGGTGGCCCATACGGGGACATGAAAAAGGGTGAGTCTAACAAGCAAACTAAAAAATCTTTCTTCCTTTTACTTCTAAGTCTTTTTCGCTCTCAGACTTCTGAGGGTAGAGAAAATTATGCCTCCTATCCAACCCACGTCACTCCCAGGGATTGGGAATGTCAGCCTTTTCCTTTTTTTTTTTTCAGATGGACGGGCGAACTGGAGGCTCCTAAGTTTCTCCCCTGTTGGAGGAGCCCATTGGCAAAGAATATGAGCTGCTTCTTCCAGGCATCTTTCCAACCCTACACTTTAAACATTTTTTCCTTTTCCCTACCCTGTCAGCCATTAACACAGTCCTGCACTTTAAGCTTGCTTTCTTTTCTCCACTAGGTAGGAGTTAACTTTTAAGCAAGCTTCCTCCCACCCCACCCTCCCCCCGCAAAAAAAAGTTTTACTAGGCCAGGAATTATTTATAGTCTCTGGAAAGTTTTAATTATCACAAAGAATTTGTGAGGTTCATCTTGAGCTGTAGTCATGCTTTTGCATGTCTTTCTGCATGGTCCATAGCAAACTTTGTGCAGGCCTTCATCTTGTTTTACCTCCTTGGGAGCATGACATGTAACCACATGGCAATGCTTTGTTTAGCCTCTGCCATTTTATAATGGTGGCCAGGATTCAATCTTGGCTTAGGGAATGAGTTCTTTCTGGTCTGACCTTTGCTATTATGTTGATTCTCTTCCCCTTCACAAGCCACCTTGGATTTCCTTTCTCTGAGACTTTAGTAAAATTTGAAAGCCAGAAATTTTGGCTACTTGGCACAGCTTATGTTGAGTAACAAGGACATTAAAAGAATTTTCTTGAGGCCTCTGGCAGCCGGAGGGTCACCATGAAGTTCAATCCCTTTGTGACCTCGGACTGCAGCAAAAACCAAAAACATCACTTCGATGTCCCCTCGTACATGTGCAGGAAGATCATGTCATCCCTGCTCTCCAAAGAGCAGTGGCAGAAGTACAATGTCTGCTTCATGTCCATCTGAAAAGACGATGAGGTCCAGGTAGTTCGAGGACACTACAAAGGGGGCAGCAAATTAGCAAGGTAGTCCAGGTGTACAGAAAGAAATATGTCATCTACAACCAGTGGGTGGAGTGGAAGAAGGTCAACAGCACAACCATCCATGTGGGCATTCACCTGAGCAAGGTGGTGGTTATTAGGCTAAAACTGGACAAGGATTGGAAAAAAAATTCTTGAACGCAAAGCCAAGTCTTGACAAGTTGGAAAAGAGAAAGGCAAATACAAGGAAGAACTTAGTGAGAAAATGCAGGAATAAATATAACTTGTTGTGCTACTACGGTTTAACTATGGTTTAGATTTTTAGGCTAGTGTGTATTTCTTTGGAATTTTTCAGAACATCTCGGGAACATTTCATTTCCTGTTTTGTTACCTGTGGCTGATAAATCTACTTTTGCAATTCGGATCAATAATTTTATGAATAAAAATGGGAAATGCTTCCTAATTTCAAATGGTATTTGCATTGTTTTATAAATATACTCCACTTACTATTAAAAAAAAATAATTTTCTTAAAGAGTACTCAGCTTAATTAAAAGTGGATATCCAAGTTACAGGCATATTTAAAAGACCTTTATGTTTTTCTTTTCTTAGACCTTGTTTTGCTATAAAAAGGTTTTATTCTCAGTTGACTGAATTCTTTTTCTCCGTTTTGCCTTGTCATTCTTTTTTTTTTTTTTTTTT